GGTGATCATGACTATCCATATATTCTATAAGAATTTATTAAGAAAAAGTGTATGGAAAATGAGAATACGATAAATTTATATTAAATAGAGCATTGAAAAGCTCTCTTATTTTCTGCTAAATGTGTATCGCCAGTAACCTGTAAAGAAATGGGCATCAAATATTTTCTCCTAAAAAAGGTTGTATTCACAATTTTCTTTTTTTTAAAGTTGGAAAACAAAAATTGAAATCAGTCTTAAAAAACTTCATTGAAATTTTGTGAAACTAAACCTGATTGAGTGATAAATCCTTTTCCCCCTCCAAAATAACTTTTGGAGAAATTTGCGCGCAAGTCTCTGGAGCCTATCTTTTCCCCTTAAAGTAGAAGTATCAGTCAGAAAATCGACCAGTAAAGACGCTTCGGTGCAACAAGAGATCAACTATCTAAGAAGGAGCTTCATTAATGGATGGATAGTGAACACTACGATTGATGTTTATTGCTTGATAGTGGAGCAGATAACAGCAAATTTTCAGGAGAATCTTTCATTTGCGGAAACAAACACCAAAATATTCAAGATAGCTGCTATTTTTCAAGATTGACGCCATTGAATATACAAAAATATTGCATTTTGCAATAAAATCACAAGAACTTGTCCCATTTGAATGATCTTGGTGTCAAATCATAAATTTTAAAGTAGAATCCGAATTTGGAACTATAGATTTACTCACTGGCTTCCTTGTACCAACAGAGCAGATGTCAACGCACAACCAGAGCACACTGGATCGCACCGCTGCTATGAAAATCATTATCGGGTTCAGTATCAGATGAATAATTATTTAGTGTAACTAGATAATCAGTTTAGTGTCCCAAATGCTGTAGAGTACATATAGTTTAACATAGATGTTTAGTTAGACAGCCGCGCTTGAATTTACAGGGTATGTCAGCGCGGGAGAACTGAGCCAAGGGTAACGCGGATTTACATTGCTTTGCATGTAGTTACCGGGATGGTGTACAGACCACACGGGACTTAAATGATACTGATAATGATCGGGATAGGTATAGTTCATATATTTTTATTCCCGAACCTACTCGTATCTCATACCTTATTGTGCATGATTGTAATCACGGTGATAAAAGGATAAGCCTTGATTCACTGAATACAGATAATCATCATACTGTTATACCTTGAATACCATTCACCAAGATGGCAAATACAGATCCTGAACCGTCTAAATTCCGGACTGACTGAAGCATGTGTTGTCTTTGCCAGAAGAAGAAGAGTGAAGAGCTCAAGTTACCACGTGCACAACAACAACAACAACAACAACATGATGGTTACACTATGATTGCGACTAATATTTCCCTCTTTCACACAATTAATGAGATGCCTATTGTTCTGGATCCAGCCAGACTTGATGATGGTGGTGGCATCGAAGAAAATCTGAGGAGGAACAGGGCGCTGTAGCATCAAAGTTATCGCTTTATGTTCAACAGCACGAAACTGGAGCGAGCCAGAAAAAGAAGAGCAGCCAGTAGAATGCCAGACCAAGTTGCGTAGAACAATCCTTGAAGGCAAAACGTGTTTCATATGTGACAAAGAAACCCTATCCCCTGAACACTGACAAGTTATGACGATGAGCCTCAATAATAGACCATGAATGTGTCCAAACTTTAAATGAAGGAAAACTTCTTGCAAGACGGTGGCGATGCTATTGCATAGGAGCTCAAATACCATTTTGCATGCTTGATAGACCTGTACAATAAAGAGAGGACGTACCTCAGACCCACCAAGAGTCTGGAACAGAAACATGCACCCGAAGGGGGTGTCCACTCATAGGCATTCTCAGAGCTAGTCACATATCTAGTAGAGACCATCAGATCTGGTGAGGGTTCTGCAGTCTTCCGACTTGCAGACATAATTCACCTGTATGCCAAGCGCCTGAAACAGCTGGGTGTTGATGCACCTGCTGTCAACTCCATAAAACTTAAGGAGAAACTGCTGTCAGAAATACCTGAGTTGGAAGCTCACAACCAGGGAAGGGATGTTCTGGCTTTCCAGAAAGATGTGGGCCTTATTTTGTCAGAATCCTCTGACTATTATAGTGAAGCTATTATCCTTGGCAAAGCTGCTAACATCTTGTGAAGATATATGCTGGATCACAACTCCACATTTGTTGAAACCTTCCATGATGGGTGCATTGAGCAGGTCATTCCACCCACTCTTCTTCAGTTTGTGGCTATACTTGAACACGGAGCGAACATCAAATCTCAACTGAGGTTTGGCATATCAAAGACAGATCTAGCAATTGCTCTGTCGCTTCAGAACAACTTCTATGCAAGGTACAAAGAAGGAACAGCATTTCGCAGACATTCCAAAGACAGAGAGATCCCATTTCCTGTTTACATACGCGGCTTTCCGTCTACATAAAGACCAGAAAGTGAACGTTGGTGGAAATACTTTACTAGCATGACATCAGCATTTCATACGACCGGATATCAGAGATATCTGCACAAATGGGAGATGCAAAGGTCAGCAAGTACGTGGAGGAGGGGGTAGTCTGTCCACCAGTTTTTCGAATAGGGCTGTTCACATCAGTCCTGGACAACATAGACCACAATACCACTGCAACGACAGTGACCACTTCTTTCCATAGAAACAGAGTCTCTGTTTTCCAGCACTCAACCAAAGAAGAGAAAGTCGAAGAGCGTGGACAGTTAAAGTTCGGAGAGCAGAAAGTGAAAACAGTTCCAGAACTTCCAGACTCCTTCACCAATGTCCGGCTCGCACTTCTTCACTAAGAAGAAACCCTCTCCTCCTCAGTGTGGTGTGACACATCCAGACTCCGGTTTGCTAAGGACACAACTGGCAATGGAGTATGAGTGGCTGGAGAAGGTTACTGTGACAGACGGGCCAGTGGATGTAACTTGGTCAGTCCACAATGTTTCACAGAAGAGAGGAAAGCCATTTGAGGTCAGCATTGCATCACTTTTGCCTCTGTTGCGAGATCGGGTTCACTCGGCTGCTACAGTCAAGCAGGTGATAAACAAGATCAAGGAGATAGTGGCATTGCTGAACCTCGGTTAGATGCCAGTCATTGCTGCAGACCAGCCAATATATGCAGTAGCCAAGCAGGTCCAGTGGCACTGGCCTGAAATCGACGGTGAGGAAAAGTACGTCATAATATTTGGAGGCTTGCATATTGAGATGACGGCACTGAAGTCCATTGGAACTCTACTCCAGGACAGTGGTTGAAGAGGAGCGTTTGTGGAGGCAGGAATAGCATCTCCTGGAACAGCAGATTCGTTTCTAACAGCTTCGAGCATCACTAGCACACAACAGATGCACCAGATAACAACATGCAGTCTGTACAAGCTTCTGAAGGCAGCCCTCATGGACTATTCGAAAGAGACAGATGAACAACCCGAAGTGGTGCCTAGCTTTGAAGCTTACTGTGATCATCGCAAACTGCAAAGTCCCCAGTTTCATTTTTGGTAAATGCTGTCTTCAATGGAATTGGTGATCCTCTTGTTGATTCGATCATTCGAGGAAGCCAACCTTCCTGTACTGTCAGTCACTGGCTGAGCTGATAACGTACTTCTTTGCCAACAACGATGTGAAATATGCCCCGTGGCTTCTGATCTACTACAGAAACATGGTGACCTTGGAACAGAGAGGCATCCCCAGCTGGCCCAGGAGTTCCAGAGTGGAGACTTTGTTATACAAATTGAGTCGAAGGTTTCAACAGTGGCTAATGACCAAGCTCACGAGCAGGCCAACGCTGTCATCAAGGCAGACTGGGGGTGGGTGCGATCAGCGTGACTGAAGATCCATCAGCACTGAGAAGATGCATGGTCTTGAAGTCAGCCACTTGGTTGCATAGTATGAGCCAACATTTGTGACCAAAGAGGGTACTGAACACATCAGCAATCATGAGGAGATAGAAAGTAGAAAAGTTCTCACAAGCCATGCAAGATATGTTGAATCCTTAGCAGAAGGAGAATCGGGATCTGCTTTCCCTTGATGCAAAGGATATTGCTTACCAAACTTCCGCCGAGTTGATTGGCACACACTTTAAGAAAAGCAATATCCGTTTTTGGGAGTTTATGAAGGGACTTGAGGGGGAAGAAGAATCCACCTTCTATTTAATTTTTCCGACAGGTACCAGCATCTGTTGGCTCTTCAAAGCAAAAAGTGCTGCAGGCAGACTATCAACTATTCACCAAGCTGTTCATATCATGTCAGAGCAGAGAGTGTAACTGGAAGAAGTTCTTCCGTCATGAGAACCAGTCACATACTGCTGCCGTCAGTGATGGTGGAATGCTCCACACCTGTCAGAAATTCCCCTCACTACCATTCTTGAGAGCTAATTACAACCCCTGAGGCAGAGCCAGATGCCGACACCATCATCATTGATAGTGCAGTGTTGGTGAACAGTCTGTTCCTACTGAGTTGAAAGACTTTCTAAGAGTACGCAATGCTCAATGTCCTTCCTACAATACAATCATACTCTACCAAATACAAGAGAACAGAAATTGTGTTTGATGCCTACATCGGCCTGAAAGCTGAAACTGGATCAAAGCGAGGATGGGGAAGACACAGGGTGACAAGGAAGGGCAAAATTCTCTGAAACTGGTGAAACTTCATGAGAGAAAATGACAACAACGCCAAGTTGTTCAACTTTCTGCCTGATAAGATTGCATGTGTGGCCACACCAAATGTGGTCATTGTGACCAAGGAAGATGATGATGTCAGCAACTGCACTATCTGTCTGGAGTAGCACCATGCAGTCATGAAGAAGCTAACATGTGGATCTTTGTTCATGCCAGGCATGCAACACAGAATCGGGCATCAAAGTGATGGTGGCAAAGCCAGCGACGCAGATGTCGTCATTGCAGTCAGTGTTCTGCAGGCACTTCAAGAGTTAGGTCTGCAGCAGTTGTGGGTTGCCTTTGGCCAAGGACAGAACCTGAGGTGAGTTCTTGTACAGGACGTGTTGCACTCTTGCAGAAAAGAGCAAAGGGATGCTCTTCTTCCATGGTTTTAGTGGCTGCGATGTCGTTTCAACATTCCGTGGCAACGGGAAGAAGTCTGCTTGGCAGACCTGGGATGTTTGTGATGAGGCTTCCGGTGTCTTCAGCAAACTCAGTCTGTACCCACCGGTAGTGGATGATGAAGACATCGAGACCTTGGAGAAGTTTGTGGTCATGATGTACGGCAGATTCAGCACAGCTGAAGATATCGATGATGCGAGGTTGGATATGTTTGCTCGGAAGCAGAGGTCATACGAAGCCATGTCTTCAATCCGAGCAGCGCAGAAGAAGCATGTGAAGCGCTGCATCTGGTGTCAGTCAGCAGTACGCCAACCAGAAACGCAGACTCATTCCAACTGCTGCTGGACCAAGAAAGGAGATCTGTCGCAAATCGTTTGGTCAGAGCTCCAACCCATTGCAGAGAGTTGCCAGCAGCTGACCAAGTGTGGATGCAAGTCGAAATGCTGAGGTCTATACAAATGCTACTGTTTTGGTCTGACCTGCACGGCACTGAGCACCTGCAGATGCGAGGTTTAGAAATGTTGTAGTATACTCATCCAGGCAACAAAACAATATGTAGCAAACAAGTTTAGGCTTACTGCCTACATGTACATCCAATAATATATCGGACTGATGGCGCCAATGATATGGGTACTTTTTACCCTAATTATGATTCCGGGATTAATATTATGGTACAAGAAAGCTAGTGAGTTGGTACATACTTCCAAATTCGAATTCTATGTAGTGAAAAATGTATGATTTGACACCAAGATCATTCAAATAGGACAAGTCTTTGCAATTTTATTGCGAAATGCCATATTTTGGGATATTCAGTGGCGTTCATCTTGAAAAATGGCCGCCATCTTGAATATTTAGGTGGCTAATGGGTTTTATCAAAAGAGCAATTCCCAAAGAGTATGTGTGCCAATTTTGGTGCTTGTTTCCGGAAATGAAATATTGTTAGTTATCTGCTCCACGATGAGGGTGTTTCTTTGCAAAAAGCCGCAGAGATGACCACAAACTTTGCCTCATGAGCTCAACTGTTCAGCATTTTCGACAACTCCTTCAGAAATATTCAGAAGTTTCAACAAATGCAACAGAAATTATATTTATTTCCGAGAAGATATTTCTAGAAAACTATCACACGATTGCTTCAAAGCATACTTGTTACTGTTCAATACACACATCCTTTACACATAACTTAAAGAATAATATCTCATCAACCCCTAAAAGAGAGCCAGTCTAGGAAGAGAACGACTCTAAATTCAAAACTGTAGAAAATGCAACGGGAAACCATGACACTAACTTTGCTAAGAATCCATGGAAATTTATAAAGGAATCTTTGAAAATCAATGAACGTCTACACCCTGAAGAATCATTGCATTGAAAAAAAAAACACATTCTGAAATTATCCTTTTTTTCCAGCTCAGAAGAATTCTTTTTTTTCTATTGTAATATCTACTGTACGAAGTACTGTTTTTACAGTACATACACATCAGTTAAACTTATATTTGAAGAGACACTTCTACTGAATGAAACTGATTAATAGTAATTATTTGTTTATTATATTAACATTTTTTAACATTTTAACTTTCTTGCAGTTTTCAGTCATTTTTTATGATGTACTCACTTATTCACTCTAACTTATATCATTTCGACTTGAGATTTCTGAACTAGAGAAAACAAATCTCGTATGATTGACATTAGTAAACATTCTAATTTCCTGATGACTTGGCCGTTGTTGGGCAATATTTAAGTAATAAATGTTTTAGTTGCGAGTTGTAAATAAAGGGAAGTTCAAATTTGAGTAATGGGATTTACAAAGATGGGCTGAAAATAATGAAGGAGTGATGCTAGAACTGTGAAATCTTGCATGCATTAATTCCACTGCTTCTTATTAATAACTGCGTTGTTTTTTCCCCAGATAAAATGACATCTGACTGTTGAAAGAATTCAAAAGTAACTAGTAGCGACTTCTCTTGAAAATGGAGAAAACTTGGTCATCGTGGTATAATCAAGTACCCGGCAGAAAAAAGGGTTTAATCCCCAAGGACATTCATGCTGACAATTTTGCTACATTAGAGGATGACGCTCCAGATTTATCAACAGTGCAAAAGTAGGCAGATGAATTTAGTAGGGGAAGGGAGAATCTTGAAGATTACCCAAAAATCTGTACGTATTACAACTGCCAGCACCGAGGAAAATCTTGATCGTGTTCACCACATAGTGACGGATGACAAACGATTGATTGTAATGCTACAAGCATATCCAGAAGAGAGAGGTGAGAATATTCTGCAGAAGGAACTTGGCATGATGAAGGTTTCTGCTCGGTGGGTGCCACGTCTTCTGATACCTGATCAAAAGCGCACCAGGCTGATCACATCACGGGAAAATCTGACATTGTTTGAGACAGATCCAACTGGTTTCTTTGAACGTTTCCTAACCCAAGATGACTGTTGGGTTCAATACTTCGAGCCAGAGGCAAAGAGACAATTTATGCAGTGGAAACAGCCCCGCCTCACTTGCTCCAAAGAAGGCCAAGGCTGTTTCATCTACAGGAAATGTGATGTCCTCATTTTTGTGATGCAAAAAATATTGTGTTTAATGACTATGTTCAAAAGGGCAACACCATCAATGGAGAGTACTATGCCAACTTGCTGAGGTAGTTACGAAATGCTATCAAAATCAAACACCCAGGAAAACTAACGAAAGAGGTTTTGTTTCGACAGGATAATGCTCCAGCACATAAGTCCTCGGTTTCAAAGTCTGTTGTGTGTGACTGGCTTTGAACTGGTTGATCACCCTCCCCATTCTCTTGTTTGACTATCATGTTCCCCAACATGAAACGTACTTATCTGAGAACCAGTATTGTAATGATGAGTCATATCTGCTGTTGATGACTTTTTTGACCAACAAATCTTCTTTGAACAGTCAGATGCCAGTTTACGTGGAAAGAATGCGGTTATTAATAAGAAGAGTTAAAACTAATGTATGCAAGATTTCAAAGCTCGAGTATCACTCCTTCATAATCTGCCTATGAACATTTCAGCGTGCCCTTGTCTGTTGTCTTTCATAATTTTACAACATAACAACCCTTGTTAGATTATTTAATGTCGAATTTATCCTGAGAATTAAAAAAATTTGGATGATTGAGCCGTATCATTATTTTTGAAGATAGGGAATGACGTTACTGTTTCTACGAAATTTGGAATTAGAAATTTGGCTTGATTTCGAATATTGATTGCAAAGGGGAATCTTCAAAGATACCTGTAAACAGCAGAAGACTAAATGATGATCTGTGTCAAAGAACATGAAAGAAATAAGAAACTTTATTCTGTAATAAAGGAAGCCAACAAATTCAAAAGTGAATTTTAAATGGGTGAAGAAGTGCAAATAATCGATAATACACCTGCTGCAGCAGCAAAGAACATAAAAAAGAAAGCAAATGCAATGTACCAAATGCAAAAGTAATGGCAAGATAAATCTCTACATGGTCAATACTCTGCCCGTACCAAACAAGCTGATGTAGACAAACCACGTAAACATCATTGGTTACGTACTGCAGGGTTAAAAGCTGAAACCAAAGGTTTTATTCTTGCTGCACAGACAAATACTTCTTGCTGCATAGGACCAATGCTTGCTAACTAGAAATTACCAAGCACACACTGAAAAATCGTGTTAGCCCAAAATGTAGATTCTGTGATAAGTATCCAGAAACAATTGATCAGCTTGTACGTGATTGGCACCAACTGAATATAAAACTCATCATGACAGAGTGGGCCAATATCTGCATTGGAAAATATGCAACCTTTACGGAAAGGAAACTGTAAGAAATTGGTATGAACACTGCCCAGACCCGGTTACAGATATAGGACCTGTAACAATTTTATGGGGCTTTACAATACACATATACAGAACAATAAAAGCTAAACGCCCAAACATCGTGATCAAAAACCACGAAAATGAATATGCCTTCTAAATGACATGGCAGTCTCTGCAGACTGTAATGAATCTTTGAAAAAAAAACTATCAAAATGCAAGGACCTTGAAATCGAAATCTAAAAAATGTGGCACGTGAGGAGATCAACAAGCCTCTCGCTGCTCTATCGCTATTTCCATGGAAAGTGATCAAACTAATTATATTCCTTAGCTCCAGCAGTTCTAACATTCAAGGCTACTACCCGCCATGCTACGGGCATTGTAGAGAATCACTCTCATTCCTCTCCGTATTTTAATTGTGAGAAGTAACTTCCACTCGATCAGCTTCTTCATAGACTCTCAAGAGCTTTGAACTTCTATAACCGAATTCATGTCAGTCAAAAATGTTTTACAAGGTAGACAAAAATAAAAAAAAACAACAACCAAAAAACAATGGAATAAAAATGTATTTGAGCCAGTCAAAACGAACGCACACATGTATAAAACATATAAACGGACACATTTTAAGACAGGTATAAATAACCGGAAATGAATATATTTGGATTTACCTTTGCTTCAACTTTTGGAGACGTGTAAGCTGCAACTGCAGATCGGGCACTTTGTAAACCTTTATGTATATATACAACAAAAAAAGCAAAAGTTAAAACATTTTAATATCGATACCTCCACTGATTTACTAAAAAAAATAGCATACCATGATGAAGAAATAACTCAAATTTAATAAAAACAAAGTTTTATCGTCAAAAACTTTGTTATTATTGAGATGAAGAAATACCAAAGGATGTTTTGAACATTAAATTATATTTTTTGAACCTTTTTAGAATGTTCAAAATTTGGGTTACAAATCTTTTTTTTCTTACGTATAGGAAATGTTAGCGTCTTTTTTTGCGGTGTAAAACACATTGATTTGGAAATTCTTCCAAAAATTAAATAATTGTCAAGTTTTAATGAAACTTTTAGGACTTATTCACAAATGAAAGAAATTATTTTAGAAATCTTTCTTTTAGAAAAACATCGTAAAAATATTTTTTTTACATTTGTTACCCTCCATTTATTTAATTTTATGAAATTTCGAAAAATTAAATTTTGTGCCACAATGATTAATGATTAATTAAAAGCAGAACTCATTGGAGAATTTAAATCATAATTTTTTTTAGTTCTGAATTGTAAAATAAAACTAAGACAGTATCTAATTAGAAAAGCTTTGAAATGATTTTATGAATAAGATATATTATGGACATTATTATCTTAATAAAAAAATCGATGAATAGTGAATTTTTAGAAGAATTGTTTTGATTTTTCTTTTAAATTTTAATAATAATAATTCATAAAGTTTTAAATCTTTTAAAATTCTGTCTTAATTTGTCCTGATATTATATTATATAGGAATAAAGTGTCGCTTCCGACATTGGTGTTTGAACACATATCACCAGGGACCAAATACAGACGATCCCATTTTGAATAAGTAGATCACGTGATGGTAAAGGAAATGTATATATGGGAATTAGCGTGGCGTCTCCGAATTCCTT